CTATAAAAATTAAATACTGCCACACAGTAGTAAATACTGAAGGGATGATTTGTTAATATTACCTTTGTTTACATTTTTTTTCTATTTGATGTCATTTGGTTAATATATAACTATCGGGTTATATATTTTAAATTTCATAACTGTAACTTTGCTGAAATAGATGTTCTCTGTTAGATACTAATTAATTTTTTATATCTAAGTAGTTAAATATTATATGTATAAGGCAAGTACTTGAAGTAGAGCTTATTAGTAGATCCTAGCTTACGTTGAAAGCGGTAATCCTTTATACCACATTTTCTCCGTCTGACTTCAAGTAGTTTTTTAATTAAATGAGAAAAATTTTAAAAAAGTAACTTTCTATACAATCATTTCTTTTTACATGAAAAGGTAAACTTGATGCAAGTAATAATGGAAAGAAACTATTATAAAATTATACTGCAATGAATGAAATATTTCTATAGATGATATTCTTTTCTTGACTAATTGCATTGTATTCTTACATTGAATAACTGTGTAGGTAGGTATCACAATTAATATAATTGATGTTCCACCATTTATATATTATTATTGAAGGTTAGAAGCGTTCGAAATGTGATGTTACAGGCGAATTATAAAGATAGAGAAGATTAGAAATGAAGAGGTATTAGAAAGAATAGGAGAACAGAGGACAGAACAGAAGTCAATAAAAAATAGGCGAGATAGGTTGGTAGGACACCTTCTCAGCATGAAGGTCTAGTCAAAGACATATTATAGGCAGAAACGGGAGTTAAGAGGAGTAGAGGCAGATTAGATTACTGTTCACAAGTAGTCAAGGTTTTGGTATGTTCTAGTTTTAATGAAATTCGAAGATTAGCTTACGATAGGAAAAAAGTGGAGATGCGTATCCAATTAGTCTTAGGACCGTCTGTCTGTCCATTTGTCAGTTAGCCGTGGCCAAAATTTCACTTTTCGATTAAAAATTGTTAAAAAAGGCAAATGATTGGTGAATTGACGCCGGTTTGAATGTTTGAGAGCTAGGGTTTTGTAAAATTTCATCTGATTTTATTAAATAGTTTAAAAAATATTTTAAGACGCAAAAAGACGCTTTTTCACTATAACATTCTGGAGCTAACTGACGATTAAAATATTTAAATAAAAAACGAAAGATTTGTTTAGATCCAAGGAGTTGTAATTTGCACATAATATATAAATATTCGACACAGAGACGAAAAATAATAAAAAATATTACTTCAAGGAAGTGAAAGTGCAAAATTAATTTTAATTCTATTTACACTGGGTTCCTCTAGGACTGACAATGTTGGCCAAAAATCGAATGTGCTAGTAGACATCTCTGTCTCTTCCTCTTACTTTCTGCTTGCAGAGAGAGATAGAGCTGACAACGTAAAATAAATTAGTCTACCATTAGGTGAATATATCCAACAGAATAATAAAATTTTCAATACTGTTTATTATTATTATATATTTTTCCTTAGTTAAAAATTGGGTTCCTTCTATTTTGAGTGTATTAATATTTAAATTAGTTACATGACAAGGGTCTTCATAAAATACAATTCGATAATTTAAGAACGGTTCACGTTTCATAAGATAATCAGTGTTGTTAACCGATGTGTCATTAATAAGCGTTTACAAGTGTGCGTAAATATTAACCAAGGACCGAGTTCGTTTTCCATTAGAGTTCTGAGAGGCAGAAAATATATGTAATCCGACGCGAGAGATTTAAATTCAAATATCAGATCAGCCCTTTACCCTTGAGATTACTGCGAATGGTCTAATTTTATTTGGATGTTAAGTCCTTTCTATTTTCGGATTTTCGACAATTGAAACGCCGAATCGGCCATGAGGATTTTCTCTGATAAAAATATTGGTTCTAATTTTGTATCTCGCCTTCTTACTGTAATTGGTTCTATATATTTAGCATTCCGAAAATTTTCCATTAAGTGTTAGGACAAAAATGGGTACCATAAAACGCGCTTTTGTATCAAATTCGGAATTCATAATTTTATTTATTGTGCAAGTAATAGTTTGAATTAAGATGCTTAGTTATTGAGTTATTTTTTATTAAATTTCTACATAATTATTGAATTCCTTCATCATTTTGCAATCTATACAATTATTACTACATATATATCAGGTAGGTAATAGATATTAGTGAGAATATACCTAGTATACAATCTGTGTTCGCTGATAATACAATTGTAGTACGTGATTAACGTAACTAGATGGCACGGGGAATAATGTAGTTTCGCGACAGTTGTAAATTTGGACTGGTGTTTATGTGTTATATTTGGTTGCAAATAACAAAACGGCATCAAAAGTAGTACAACAAAGTAATATGTATGTTCATTAATTGGAAGTTATTCCAGTTATTCATTGAAACAGCAGAGCTCTTATAATAAAATCGCTCCATAACCAATAACATTGACCAATTAGGGCTTCACAGTACATTTTGGTGAACCATTTCAATTTTTGATGATCAAGCAGCCCAGTTGACATTCAAATGTTTGTTGGAATGTTTTAGAGTTTAAAGGGTATTTATGGGCAATAAAATTTAGAAAAACATTAAAACAAAACTTTAAAAG